GTGCGGAAAGATTTTAGAAATTGCTTTCTGTCAAGATTCCAACCTCAGATTCAGTTGCAGAATGACTTCAGAAGTGAACTTTACGTCGTGCAATCTCCTTTAATCATTAACTAGATGAGAGTGTCACTGGCTAGGCAGCATTTATTGCCCATCCCTAATTGCCCAGAGGGCTGTTCAGAGTCAACCATACTGGGGTCTGGAGTCACATGTAGGCCAGACCAAGTAAAGATGGCAGTTTCCTTGCTTAAAGGGCATCACTGAACCCGATGGGCTTTTCTGACAATCAACAATGGATTCATGGTCATCATTAGATTCTTAATTCCACTTTTTTTTTTATATTGAATTCAATTCAATAAAATGGCAGGATTCAAACCCAGGTTCCCAGAACATTATCTGGGTCTCTAGATTAACAGTCCAATGACAACACCACTAGGCCATCTCCTCCCCTTTAAGTTGTGCAATCTATGAATGTTGTGGAGCCTGTTGATGATGTGTGCTGCCAGCAGACAATGGAGGAGATAGTAGGAACTGCAGATGCTGGAGAATCCGAGACAACAAGGTGCAGAGCTGGATGAACACAGCAGGCCAAGCAGCATCATAGGAGCAGAAAGGCTGACGTTTCGGTCCTAGGCCCTTCTTCAGAAATGGGGGAGGGGAAGGGGGTTCTGAAATAAATAGGGAGAGATGGGGAGGCGGATAGAAGATGGATAGAGGAGAGGATAGGTGGAGAGGAAACAGACCGGTCTAAGAGGCGGGGATGGAGCCAGTAAAGGTGAGTGTAGGTGGAGAGTTAGGGAGGAGAAAGGTCAGTCCAGGGAGGACGGACAGGTCAAGGGGGTGGGATGAGGTTAGTAGGTAGGAGATGGGGGTGCAGCTTGAGGTGGGAGGAGGGGACAGGTGGGAGGAAGGACAGGTTAGGGAGGCGGGGACGAGCTGGGATGGTTTTGGGATGCGGTAGTGGGAGGGGAGATTTTGAAGCTTGTGAAATCCACATTGAAACCATTGGGCTGCAGGGTTCCCAAGCGGAATATGAGGTGCTGTTCCTGCAACCTTCGGGTGGCAGCTGGCTGCATGTTGGAATCACTGTCATTAGTACAAAGTTGGCTTACTGCCTGCAATCCACTCAACTGATGCCAGTTAACCATGCGTTACAGTCCTCAGTCCTGTTTCGGGGGCTGGCTCATTTTATAGCCCAACTGCCATATAATAAAAAAAACTTGGTAATCCATAAACTGACACCCCATGGCATCAGTCACATGGAGTTTCCCTTGGCAGACAAGGGTGCAACGACTATAAATTTGTCCTGTCCTATGACATTATTTTATTTGAGATTGAAACTATTTTTGTTATGCACATCTGTGGATGCACCTGTACTGCTTATGTGTCTGCATGCATGAGACTTTGTTTTGTATGTGGCTGCGTACGTGTATCTGTGGGTCTGTACAAATGTGTGTGTGTGTGTGTGTGTGTGCGCACACGCACCTGTGTTTATTCGACTGAACATAACTGGCTGTCTGTGTGGTTGAGCAGATACCAGTGTACATCTGTGCTTAGCTGAGCATGTGGGTTTCATAGAGTCACAGAGGTCTACAGCACAGGAAAAGGCCCCTCAGCCTACTGAGTCTACACTGGTCAAAAACATCTACCTTATTATTCTCATCCTATTTTCCAGCATTTGGCCCGCAGATGTGTGTGCATTGTCATTGCAAGTGTACATCTAAATGCTTCTTAAGTGCTGTGAAGGTTTCTGCCTCTACCACCCTTACAGTGAGTTCCAGGTCCCCACCAACCTCTCAAACTTTGGGTGAAAATGGTTTTCCTTACATCATATTGCATGTGTTTGTGTGCGTGTGTGTGTGTGTGTGTGTGTGTGTGTGTGTGTGTGTGTGTCTTTATATGTTTCTGAGTAGATATGCCTGTTCATGTTTCTGAGTGTATGTGCGTATGTCTCTGCTTAGTTGTGTATGTTCATGTGTGCCTGTTCACCTCTTGTGTACGTGCATATTCGTGTGGATCTGTGTATCAGAGTGATGTAAAAATTGGTGCCAGGGTCTCAGCTATTTACAAACTATATTAGTAACTTGGATGAAAAGACCGAGAGCGATGATATACATTTGCTGTCAATACAAATTTGGGTGGAAAGATAAACTATGGGGTGGACACAGAGGCCGCAAAGAAATATCAACAAGTGAAGTGAGTGGGCAACAAGATAGCAGAGTTTGTGAAGAGCATTATGTTGGAAATCATTCTGGTCATAAGGATAGAAAGTCAGCATTTTTGTAAAAGGTGTGGAACATAGATGTTAATGCTGTCATAGAGTTTTACAGTGTGGAAAGAGGCCAACAGGCCATCACATCCATGCCAATCATCAAGCATCTATCTATCATAGTCCCATTTTTCAGGACTTGGTCCCTAACCTTGTATGCTGTGGCACTTCAAATAATCATCTTAATACTTCTTTAATGTTGTGATGGTTCCTGCCAGTGAGTTCCAGATAGAGGTGTTTTTTTTATTCATTCGTGGGATGTGGGTCTCACTGTCCGGGCCGGCATTTATTGCCCATCCCTAATTGTCCAAAGGACAGTTAAGTGTCACCCACATTGCTATGGGTTTGGAGTCACATGTAGACCAGACCAGGTAAGGATGGCAAATTTCCTTCCCTAAAGGACATTAGTGAACCAGATGGGATTTTCCTGACAATTAGGAATGGATTCATGGTCATCGTTAGACTTCTAACTCCAGATTTTTATTGATTTCAAATTCCACCACCTGCTGCAGCAGGATTCCAACCCATATCCCCAGAACATTGCCTGGGTCTCTGGATTAATAGTCTAGCAACAATACCACTAGGCTATCCCCTCCCCAGTGAAAATATCATTCCTTAAATTACCTCTAAACGTCCAGCCCTTTACAGTAAATCAATGCCCCTATAATTGTCCCCTCTACTGAGGGGAAAAGTTTCTTCCTCTCCGATATGCTACTATATGAAAGGCGATCTTATTAACATGTACAAGATTCTGAAGGAGTTTGTCAGTGTAGACACCGAGAGATTATCACCACAGGGCAGGGTCACAGTTACAGAATAAGAGGACAAACACTTTGGACTGAAAGAAGGAGAAATTGCATTACTCAAAGGATTTTGAACCTTTGAAATTCCCTGCCCTTCAAGGTTGTAGATGCTCTATCCCTGAACACATTTAAGACTGAGAATTCTGGTCTGATACACTGAGTCTGAGGGGAGTTGGTGATGGGAAGTCCAGTTGAAGATCAAGATCAGCCATGATGGCATTGGATGACAGCTCAAGCTCAACAGACCACATCGTCTACTCCAGCTTCTTTATTTTTTGTCTCCTTGCGTTCCTCAGACACCCACTGATCCATTTCCATTGGCTTGCCTCACTTTTATATTCATTTTAAAGTGAAACCCAGGCCTCAAATTTTGCTCTTCATATCACAGAAAGGTGGCTCAGTGGTTAGCATTGCTTCCTCACAGCATCAGGAATCTGGGTTCAATTCCATCCTTGGGCAACGTCTGGCAGGAGTTTGCACATTCTCTCCGTGTCCCTGCATGGGTTTCTTTCAGGTGCTCTGGTTTCCTCCCACAGTTCAAAGATGTACAGGTTAGGTGGATTAAACGCAAGGTTACAGGGATAGGGTAGGGGCTTAGTCTGGGTGAGATGCCCTTCAAAGGGGTGGTGTGAACTCAATGGGCTGAATGGCCTGTTTCCACCCTGCAGGGATTCTATGATTCTATGATATCAGGCACGCTGAGCCAGGACAATTCGTAATAGCTGGGGCATGAGCTGCTATAAGTGACACTAAGTTGGCATCAAAGTTATTAAAAGCCATGGAGTGCATTGGTTTTCATGGAAGATTTGAGGGGTCTTTAGGGTTAGGGTAGGAGTCATGGATTAGCATGTGTGGGGATAGGGCTGGAGGGCTTTAATTTTTGCTTTATTGTTTTTCTTCATTGTTCCCACACATACTGGTACATTAACGCAGGCCTTCCACCCAGCCAGCCCCTGAACAAATTGACACCTCATGCCATCCAGCCAAATCTATGCCCCTCTACCCATCTCCATGGCTGTTCATTGCCAACTTAATGCCACTTAATATCAACTTACAACAACCCATGCCGCCACCAACCACACTTTGCCCTTACCATCATCATTGTCGTCAGTGATCACTCAGGACGAGTATGATTGTCCTCCATAAAGTCATCTATTTCTGAGTCTTTAGATGGTTAATGAGGCCAATCCGAGATCCACAGATTCTATTGCGGTGTGAGCATCGGTGGGTGGTAATGGCGGTTGGAGGTGCTGGTGGGAGGGCCTTCCTGATGTTCTGTATCTCCTAGCGCAACAGCCGCTTCTGTTCAGCGGAGCGGCAGGGATTGTTTTCATGTTGTATAGCTCCATGCTGGATGATGTTTGTCCAGTGATTCCAGTTTGTGGCCATGTCCTCCCAGTTTTTGATGCTGTTATAGAATTTCTTGAGGTTATTCCGGATGTTACCTTTGAAGCATTTCTTTCGGTCACCAGGGGCACGCTGACCTTCCTTCAGCTGGGAGGACTTTATGATCAGTTTTGAGAGATGTGAGTTGGGCGTTTGGATGACATGGCCGGTCCACCAGAGCTGATGTGGAATTACAATGATGGTGATGCTGGCTATGTTGGCCTCCTCCAAGACCCTGGTGTTAGTGCACTTGTCCTCCCAGGCGATGCACAGGATTTTTCATAGGGATCTCTGGTGGTGTCGTCCCAGTGCTTTAAGGTCCCTACTGTAGGTAGTCCACGTTTCAGCTCCATGTAGCAGTGTGGGAAGAACAATGGCTTTGTAGACCACAGATTTAGTCTGGGCCTGTAGGTCATGGTCTTCTGAGGAAGGGTCACTGGACCCGAGACATTAACTCTGATTTCTCTCGACAGATGCTGCTAGATCTCCTGAGCTTTTCCAGCAACTTCTGCTTTTGTTTCTGATTTCCAGCGTCCACTGTCATTTCATTTTTTATCATGAATTCTGGGTTTATCAGCTGCCTTCCCTTTCCAGAAGAAGGTGTAACCACCTTTCACCTCCTTCAGTTGCTCTTTGTCTGCAAGGTGAACTTCAGAAAGAACAGCTGGGTCAATCTGGCATCTCTTCAGTTCTCTGACTATGATCGCAGTTCTTCTCTCAGGCCGGTCACTGTTAGTTGGTCCATCAGAGTTCTTACAGTCCAGGCTCCAAAGTTTATTAATCTTAATTTCTGACCACATGTGGGTGATCCCTCTGGACGTGGTAATCCAGTCAGGAGTTTTGAGGCAGGCTATTTTTAGGGCACCTTTTCCAGCCCCCTCCCCTATGGTGGTGAGCAAAGCAGGTCTTAAAAGGGCTGCTCAGTCCTGGGCATAGCTGCCTTATATGGGAACAAGGCAACTGAATCTAACACCCATAGTCTAATGTGTCAGTTTATGATGAGGGGCTTCCAGATATCACAGATTGGCCCCCTCTGCCAGTAGCTGATCACCATAGGACTTTTATCCAGGACACAAGTAGGACTGGTAGCTCTTGGGAGGATGGTTTTATGTGACACCTTTTAATGTAGGGAGCCTGGTGCACAGACAATCACCGCATGGACCTTGATACATAGCTGTTGAAGCCCAGTGGCACGGAGACCAAGACGGCTGGCAGCTCTTCTCATTAGCCTCCATTCACCCTCAAAACTATCATGATGTTCTAATTTTAAGTTCTGCTATCATTCTCCGCCTACTCCTCCATTGAGGTCTTCATGGATCATGCTTTGTCTGGAACCTCCTCCTTGACCTTACCATCATGGGTGACCCTGATGCTTCAGATGGTTTAGCTCTCGGTCCGTGGATACACACACAAGCCTATCCACCACAACAAGGTGGTGATCCTCAGGGAGGTTTGCCCTTACACCTACCATGTGAACTAATCATAACTCAGCTGGAAGTCTGGTGAGTGATGCCAAGTGCATCAATTCCCACAACCGGCTCTGGTTACCATGAATGACTCTCCTTCTCAACCTCTCCCCTCAGCTGAGGTGTGGGGACCCTCAGGTTAAACAACCATCAGTCATCTCTCTTCAATCAGGACAGCCCTATGGTCTGGGAGGACTATGGTGACTTTACTTTTTACCTCTCATGGACAGACCCCAGATCCATGTTAAAAAAGAGTTCTTGAGTGTCTATTGACAAATTTGCTATTTCAAATAGAACGCTCTAATTAATATAACAAAATAATTCACTGCATTTGGTTGCATTTAATCATTAAAAATGGAACTCACAGTCCTATTCCAAAGAGTTTTTAACCACTTGGAGCTGCTAAGCTAACTGTGAACTGACAGGGAGCCCACTGTGATAATAAAAGGTTGTGAAATTAAACATGCAGCACTAATACTGTAATTATGTTCCTCAGTCTTACATCAAAAGTCAGAGCAAAATAGCAAGTATTGATTTTTAATACATACTTTTTTCAAATATTTGACACACAGGAGTTGTAACAGCCTTGACAGCTCCCACAGACAGCACCAGAAAGCACGTGAGTGCCCCTAAAGGGCACATGACTTCTCAAAATGTGTCCCAGGGCCATAACTAAAGCTGTACGTTACCTCTGAAAAAGGATACCCTATTACTGCTGGCCAAGCAGCATCAGAGGAGCAGGAAAGCTGACGTTTCGGGTCGAGACCCTTCTTCAGAAAAGAACGGTCTAGGCCCGAAACGTCAGCCTTCCTGCTCCTCTGATGCTGCTTGGCCTGCTGTGCTCATCCAGCTCTACACTGTGTTATCTCAGATTCTCCAGCATCGGCAATTCCTACTATCCCTATTACTGCTCCAGACTTTCTCCTTTAACTCACATATTTGCCATTTAGAATCACAAGTGTGCAAGTTGGAATCTGTCCCCTTTCTTCCCTCATATCACAAAAATGGTAGATACTTGTTCACTGGTAGGATTTGAGTCTCCAACACTATTTCTGAAACAACAAAGGTATTTGTCTCCACAAATATTCAGGCATCCAGATGTTGGATGCAAACAACATCTCCATCGAAACAGAAATTATTTCTGGAAAAGCTCAGCAAGTCTGGCGGCATTTAAGAAGAGAAATCAGAGTTAACATTTCGGGCCCAGTGATCCTTCCTCAGAACAGTTCTGAGGAAGGGTCACCAGACCTAAAACATTAACTCTGATTTCCCTTCACAGATGCTGCCAGACCTGCTGAGCTTTTCCAGCAACTTCTGTTTTCGTTCCTGATTTGCAGCATCCACAATTCTTTCGGTTTTTAGAAACTATTTCTTCCTCTTAAATTGTTTTCAAATTAGGTTGTATTTTTTGTCTTTATTGACTGATTTGAAACTCAGTTAAGTTAGTTAATATAACGAAAGTGCACAGACCTTGAAATTACATTAAAGGATGTTAACCCGCATAAGATTAATGCATCAAATTAAAATTTCTCTCTTCCCTTTTTGATGATTAGGCATGTTAACAGACTTAAAGTAAGCACTGACTTTTAGCTCATAGCGTGATCAAAGGGCCAAGTTTTATGAAATCTAAAATCATCTGAACTGGGGAATGATGACATTTTCTGAAGAAGGGTCTAGGCCCAAAACATCAGCTTTCCTGCTCCTCTGATGCTGCTTGGCCTGCTGTGTTCATCCAGCTCTACACCTTGTTATATCAATGATGACAATGTGACTGGATTAGTAATCCAGAGGCCCAGATTAATGTTCTGGTGACATGCATACAAATCCCACCATGGCAGCTGGTGGAATTGAAATTCAATCAATATGGAATATGAAACTGGGAAGACAATGGTTTAGTGGTATTATCGCTAGACTATTAATCCAGAAACTCAACTAATGTTCTGGGGACCCGGTTTCGAATCCCACTATGGTCTATGGTGGAATTTGAATTCAATAAAAAAATCTGGAATTAAAAATGCAGGATGACCATGAAATAATTTCGATTGTTGGAAAAACCCATCTGGTTCACTAATGTCCTTTAGGGAAGGAAATCTGCCATCCTTAACTGGTCTGGCCTACATGTTTTTCCAGACCCATAGCATTGTGGTTGACTCTCAGTTGCCCTCTGAGATGGCCCAGCAAGGGTACCAACTGTTATGAAGTCTCAAAGAAATGAAACTGAACGGATCACTTGGCAACAACCCCCTAGACACCAGAAAACACAACGGAGGAAACAGCCCTGTCATTCCTGCAAAGTCCTCCTGAGTAATATCTGGGGGTTAGTGTCAAAATTGGGAGAGCTGTCTCACAGACTAATGAAGCAACAGCCTGACATAATCATACTCACGGAATCTTATCTTACAGACAATATCCCAGACACCACTGTCACTATCCCTGGACATATCCTGTCCCACTGGCAGGACAGACACAACAGAGGTGGTGGCACAGTGGAATGTTGGCGAAATGTTTTACATAAATCACACATTTTTATAAAACAGATCCCTCTGCTATTTGCAGCACAAACAGAAAGTGCTCACCAAAGCTTGCAACCGAGTCCATCATGCTGGCCTGGCACCTGACAACAGCTCTGTCCTCATCGCTAAACATTAAATAAGAGGCTTTTACTGAGCCCATTACAACGTTAGGCATCTTACCCATAGCAGAGGTTATCTTCCTCACCCTTGGGAAAATAGTGGCAGGTGGAAATTTTGGGCATGCCTAAACACTCATTTTTCCCATGTCCCACCTCTGTTCCCATCTCTAAAGGGCCAGAAACTCCACATCTTGACTGACATTAAAATTCCTGTGCTCCCCATTAGTTGGATGTCTGCTCACCTACCCTGGCTCACCCTGGCTTCACCCCTCTGCTGGCCCTTCAGCCCTCTGAGCTATCTTTGCCCTTCCTCAATGCTGGCCCCTCCCACATCCCTGAATTTTCATGTCACTATTAATGTCAGTCATTCCTATAGCTGTTTAGATCATTAGCTCTGGAAATTCTTTCTAAATACCCGTGCCTTTTTAACTGTCTTTCCCCGTAAGCCATAAAACCTACCTCTTTAATCAGGTTTTCTAACATTTCTTTCTGAGACCTACTGTTAAATGCTAATAGCTAACATTTTAGTGACGTGCTTTGGAATATTCTGCTGTTTTAAAGGAGCTCTGTAGATCTAAGTTGTTGTTGTCACCAGTGAATATCGATTGCCTCACTTTCACTTTAGTTCTAACATTTATCTTGTTATTGCTTAATGAATACATGTATTCAAAAAAATAACATATTAGATAGGCATCTACAGACTTGAAACGATTGCCAATGGAAGCTAATTTTCAAGAGTTCTGTGCAAGAATACAATTCAGATGTTCAAAACTTGCCTTCTAAGGACATGGCAAACTTGTGGGAAAGTTGTTTAGTTCACCCATTTCAGAAAGAGATTTCAGTCGTACTGATGTTTTACTATCATTTAAATTACTTGTCTACTCCCTCCAATGGGAACAAGACATCAGTAATACCAGAAGAAGAGCTCCTTACAAGCATTCCATCAGTTTATCAACTTCATGTGCACAGTTTGAAACAGGAACCCACATGCAAGAAATGGGAAGAACTAGTTCCTATAATAGGATTTCTCATCACTTAGTTGAGGAGGGTTTTGGTTAATGAAGAAAAATTGACATTTAGTTTATTGGTATACCCTTAAAAGAGAGATATGGTATACCAGTCTACCTTCAAAAGACACAGTATACCAGTACACCTTTAAAAGACACAGTACATCTGTATGCCTTTAAGAGAAACGCTCACTGAAAAAGCTCCACAGAGGCCAGTATCGTGCTACCAAGTCACCCTTTATTTACACATGGAGAGTCCCAGACATTGATCCAGTTCTTCAGAGCTAGCTCTCATAGTGAGCAGAACCTCTGACACTTATCCCTCCCCACTCTTATCTGCTTTCCGGAGGGACCACTCTCTCCATGACTCCCTTGTCTGCTCCACACTCCCCACCAGCCTCACCACCCCTGGCGCTATTCCCTGCAACCGCAGGAAGTGTTACACCTGCCCCTACACCTCCCCCCTCACCCCCATCCCAGACCCTAAGAAGACCTTCCACATTGAACAAATGTTCACCTGCACATCTGTTAATGTGGTATACTGTATCCGCTGTTCCCGATGTGGCCTCCTCTACATTGGAGAAACCAAACAGAGGCTTGGGGACTGCTTCGTGGAACACCTAAGCTCAGTTTGCAACAAACAACTGCACTTCCCAGTCGTGAACCATTTCAACTCTCCCTCCCACTCCTTGAACGACATGTCCATCCTGGGCATCCTCCAGTGCCACAACGATGCCACCCGAAGGTTGCAGGAACAGCATCTCATATTTCGCTTGGG